GAGATTTCAGCTCATGAATACTGGAGTGCTGGGATGGAGTACGGAAACACAATGCATGTGAAGTGGTTCAGACATAGGGCCCACGGTGCTGAGGGATGCACTTTTGTAAAATTCCCCAAAGTAGTGAAGTAGTAACAGAAGTATTCGGGGAGAGAAAGGAGGCAAATGAAAATCTCACATGAGGGTAACCAGCAGAAACAGTGGGTGCTCTCGCCTGATGCTGCCTGCTTGGAATGGTGGGGAGTCACCACTCCAAGACCACATGTCGGCAGGGGTCAGAAATGCTCTCCATGAGGAAAAGTGAAAGGGATTTCTGAATATGGTGAAGATGAAGGGTGGGGGTAAGTGTTTGCTCTTTATCAAGGAGTGAGAATGTAATGAAAAGGGAAGAAAAATCAAGGCATTTAAAAATCATTAAAATGTCCTCACTCGGTCATGCAGACTAATTCCCTCAAAGATGAAGTCTGTCACAGTTCCAGTCAGGAAATTAATGGACACTTCAGGTAAGCTTTGCCTGCCCAGCCTTCCCTGCTCAGCATTATACCTCAGATAGGAGGCAAGGGAAGTCCAGCTCCTCTTCAGGGGTTGGCAGCACTGATGGAGTCGATTCCTTTGTTTTCTGCATATTGGGACACAGTGCAGGTTACCTGAGCCCAGTTCAATGTATTTATAGGTAATATTATCTCGTTGTAACAAACAGACAACTGTGAATTTAAGATAACACTGATAATGCATGCCTAGGACACCAAAAACGTGGAGGACACCAAAAGCACTAGCCTTGCTGCTTTTCTCCATGTTGTATTGAATTGCACATCATCAGGTTGAGAGATCACAGGGATCAGCAGTAAGATCACTTTAAGAGCAGTAGTTTTGATCTGGTCACATCATCTTAGCCTAAATGTGGAAGAGAAAAAGTGTTACACTGTGTTCATCTAGCAAACAGATATTGTTTGATCTCTATGTGAAAAGCACTGTGCTAAGTGATGGGGAACAGGGAAATAGACTAAATGCTATTCCTACCCCAATGACTTGATAGAGTCTGGACAGGAAAATAGTGTCATGGCAATTGTCACCAGTTTATCTCATGGAGTTGAGTAATCTGGCCCCTTTGATGGGGAAGCCAAATTCTATAGCAGTAGTAAAGTTGGGCTTCACTTGCATCTCAAAGTGGCAGAAAGGGCCCTAGTCTCAGGAGTCTGGTCAGGTTGAACCTAGGTCCCAGATACCTGGGGAGTCTAAGGCAACCATGGTTGTTAGGACACGAGACAGTGGTGCCATCAGATAGAACTCCCCACTGGAGCAGCGGCCATGATTTAGAGTAGTTGGAAGAGAGGGAGCCTGGGGACTCACAAAGAGTGGACTCCACAGAGAGCTACTTCTTGTTTCTTAACACCACAGTTTCCAAATTCATGTAAGAATTTAATGTTTTTATAATTTATACATGAAGTTACATCCCCAAGCTGTATTTACATGCATTCATTTCCCTATGTCTGTCTTCAGGACTGATATTCAAACTGAAGCATTAGGCAAGAATCTGCATCCTTTGCTAAGGTAGTCACAAGAAGCACATGTGCCCAGTTATTCTGGATCACTGGCCACATTACTGAGATCATCTGTATTTTGTAGCTAAAGTGTTTACTTATCTATAATGGATGTCCATTTTTATCATATGGCATAAAACAGAACTCAACGAGCCATAACATTGCAAAGTTTGCAATACTGAAATATTGCAAGGTTTGCATATTATTTTTAACTACCTTCTCTAATAAAATCTCATAATTAACCTGAGTGCTTAGGAATAGGATGTTTTAAGCTTTTAAAAGTTATTTATGGTTCATTAGAAGTGCTTTTTTTCCCTCTTCCAACCTTGCTACTAACTGAAATTGGTCATAATTCTGGATGCTGTTCTCATTGTAGAATCATGGATTTAGGGCTAGAAAGGTCCCCAGAAATAATGATGCTGGATTAAGAGACTTATAAAAATCTCACAGCTAGTTAGTGGCAAGATAGACTTAAAAATATAAGATGATGTAACAAGAGCCCAAGAACTCCCTGTAAATTTTTTTTTCACTAAGTCTTTTATATGAGTGCCCTTATACAAATTACCCTTTCACTAAAAATTAAATAAAGAAACATATTTCAGAATATTTGGGAGCTCTGGTTGGTCATAGAAAATGATAATTCTCCTTGAATTGATATTTGAAGGTATTTTTCTGTTTAAATTATTATTTTTAATTTTAGCCAGTGTCACTATTTAAGAAAAAAAATATACCTGAAAGCAAAATTAGTTTTGACAGAGAGCAGAAAATCAAGGTTGCTTTGAGTTACACATGAACTTCTTGATATTTTTATCAATTCAAATAATGGTTCTACACCTCTCTTTAGCTGACTTTTACAAGGTCATTGTGTATAGATGAGTCATCATGCTGCTACTGGCTAATGATTTTAGGAATAAGCCATACGGAGGTTTGAAAGAGCCTTGTTCTTCACTGTGACAGTTATGCAAGTGGAAAGTATAGCCTTGGATCCAAAGAAAGGAATAGCAAGAGCCAGGCCATTTCAGCAACTGAACAGAATATTTACCTCCAGAAAATGAACCTGTTTATCTCTATTAGCTATACAGTTTTGCCTTGGTTTTATTTATTTCCTTCCTGGTAAAGAGATTTGCCAAAATAATCATAATTAATATGAATATGCCCCCAGCTACCAGCACTTTGGCTGTTTCACCAATTTCAACCCTAATGAGGCAGATGTCAAATTTAAATACCAATCCCTATAGTACTTGGCTTTGGAAGTAGGAGTTTATTATTCAAGACTAAAATTCAATTTCAGACTGGGGTACTCTTGGATGACAGTTTATTTTGTTACTCAGTATATCTCTGGATAATTAATTTTGTTATTTAGTTTGTTTGGGATTACTCCATACTAGAAACCACACACATCATATTTTTATTATTGCATTCATCATTTTTTGGCCATTGAAAAGAACAGGATGCTTCAACGTAAGAACAAAAGAGAACAGTTTTGTTCTCAGCAAACAATGTATTAAGAATTTTAAAACTGCTGCTTTTCCTTAAATTCTTTTTTTGTCAATTTCTTAAACAATGAACCATAATGAAACTTTATGAGTTTTTCTCCTGGCTTTTGATATGTATGTAATAGAGTCACATGCCATTGTCATTGTGTAATGATTTCCAAGTTTCTACCAAGTTCTAATAAATAGCACTAATGAGATTTTCTCACATTCTTTGTGTGCTCAGAAAGCATACGTCTTATTTGTTGCATCAGCGCTATGAGGTAGCTAAGACAGAATCTTGTTACCCCTGCCTTACTGCTGATAAAATGAAAGCTCAAGACTCATATGATTTGATCTATATCCCATAACTAGTTTATACATCTTTAGAATTAAACTTTATGAAATTTAAATGGTTCATTGCTGTACGTGAACAGGAGATTTTGACCTGTCTATAAGACCCTATTTATACAAAACAAATAAACCAAGTTAGAGCTTCATTCTATCTTTATTTCATTTTTAACTTCCTAGTTTTGTCATTCTCTTAGACATGAGCTTTAAGAGTTCTCAAATACCCCTTAATTCTCAGGAATGTTGCTTTACACTTCCAGGGAAGACCTCAAGTTTCAGGGCTATTTAACTTTAGCTCCTGGAAGAGAAATGTCGTGGTAACAGAGGTTTAACAGAGGGCTTCCCACAGAGACAATCAGCTTACCAAAGGCTGAGAAAAATCAAGATTATTACAAGGACCAGGAACATAATGATGGCACTGTCCTTGTCCTAGATATAAGATTTAATCCATGATCTAGTCACAACTTTCTCAAAATCCCTTCAGAGATCAAACCTATTACAGCGTAGGGTCTCAGAAGTTTATTGCCAGAAATGAGCCTGGAAATCAGCCATATCACATCCTCATTTCAGAAAAGAAGAACTCTGAGACAGACATGGAGAAAGGAAAGAACTCAGTAGGCATCTCACAATGAGTTCTAGAGGCAAGGCTGCCTTATAGGCCCCTGACTTCCAGATCTGCAATCTTGTCTTAAATAATGATCACTAGCCTGGAAAGTGCTCTTGTAATTATTTATGAAAAGATTTTGGCTAACATCTCATAGCGCTCTTCAAAAGTAAGTTTCTCATAATCATTCTTTCATGGATGAGAAAAGGAAAATGGAGGCGTGGATATTAAAGGATTTGGTCGAGGAAATTCAGCCAGTAAATGGTAGAGCTAAGCTATGACGTATGTTCTTTTCACATGGCACAATGCAGCCAGCCCATTAGTGACTATGGACTGTAACCACCAATTAAAGGGAAAAAGCCCTTTTATCAAGATCATGGTTCTGATCACAATCAACATTCATTTAACTGTTCATTTGATAAACATTTATTGACCAACTATATGCCAGGTACAAATATTTATTAGTTTGATATTCATTAATTTTCTATCATTACTAAATGCATTAACTGCTTCCCTCAAAGTGTGTTGGCTGAAAACTCAATATAGAGTATTTTTCTCATATCCATAGCTTTGCTCTCCACTATTTCAATTATCTACAGTCCAAAAATACTCAGTAGAAAATCCCAGCAATATACATTTCGTAAGTTCTAACCTATGCAGCATTCTGAATTCATGATGAAATCTTACCCTCTTGCTCCATTCCACTCAGGACGTGAATCATCCATTCTGTCCAGAGTATCCACACTATATATGCTACCTGCTCATTAGTCACTTAGTAGCCCTCTCAGTTATCAGATTGAGAAAGCATAATATATATAGGACTCAGTACTAACCTTACTTCTGGACATCCACTGGCATCTTGAAATAAACCCCTTGAGGATAAAGGGGAACTATTGTACTTACCAAATGCCTCAGGGTCTGACTTCCTCTGACTTGGAGCTCTCTTAGAATGGAAGTAGCTCTCTTAGAATGGAAACAGTTGTCATAATGAGAATAATTCTGGAGTATCTATGACCAAGGCTTCACCTTGAGTAAGACTGTGACTATACTGAGCACTTAAATTGGGACTCCAAGGTGATCTGATCATTAGGTACACCATCTGGCTATTAGATGTACCACTATGTAATGAGAGTAAGTTAAGGCATGATTAGGATGTCCTGTCAGCTCCTGCATCAGAGGGAAGTAGGTGCACTGACTTCAGGCAGTTGGCTGGGACATTAATGGGTGGAGGAGACCACATAATGGGGTGACTCTTCTGTTCACCTGTCTACAAATGGAATCAAGACCACCTGGCCTCCTGTAGTGCAGGGAAGACTGAATTTCAAAAAATAGAACGGTAGGTCACTCTGGAGGACTCAAGATGACCACATAGACTAATAATTTCTGCAAATGTAGAAGTAGGTAAGCATAAAGCAAAATGGATTAAGTAAGTTCCTCCTGAAATCCAGGAAAGTGTTTCTGAACAAAAACAGTGGTAGGCAGAGTACAGCCTCCCAAGATGTTCACAGCCTAATCTCCACAACCTGTAAATGTTACGTTACATGGCAAAAGGAACTTTGCAGATGTGAATAAGGTTAAGGACCTTGAGATGGGAAGATTATCTTGCATTTCTAGGCCTGCTTACTGTAATCACAGGAATTGTTTCCGAGCTGTGGTCAGACAGCAATGTTAGCAGGGAGAAAAGATGGAGATGTGTAAAGTTACCGAATGTGAACATGAAGTAAGGCCAATCAGCCAAAGCATCTCAATGGCATCTAAAATATGCAAATGGCACAGAAATAGATTCCCCCTGGAACCTCCAGAAAGGAATGCAGCCCTCTGGATACCTTGATTTTAGTGCAGTGAGACCTACATCAGACTACTAAACAACGTCATTATAAGATGATAAATTCGTGGTATTTTTGTTTTCTTTCTTTCTTTCTTTCTTTCTTTCTTTCTTTCTTTCTTTCTTTCTTTCTTTCTTTCTTTCTTTCTTTCTTTCCTTCCTTCCTTCCTTCCTTCCTTCTTTCTTTCTTTCCTTCCTTCTTTCTCTCTTTCTTTCTTTCCTTTCTTTCTTTCTTTTCCTTCCTTCCTTCCTTCCTTCCTTCCTTCCTTCCTTCCTTCCTTCCTTCCTTCCTTCCTTCCTTCCTTCCTTCCTTTCTTTCTTTCTTTCTTTCTTTCTTTCTTTCTTTCTTTCTTTCTTTCTTTCTTTCTTTCTTTCTTTCTTTCTTTCTTTTTCTTATACTTTAAGTTCTGGGATACATGTGCAGAACCTGCAGGTTTGTTACGTAGATATACATGTGCCATGGTTGTTTGCTGCACCCATCAACCCGTCATCTTGTCATCTACATTAGGCATTTCTCCTGATGCTATCCCTCCCTTAGCCCCCCACCCCCTGAAAGGCCCCAGTGTGTAATGTTCCCCTCCCTGTGTCCGTGTGTTCTCATTATTCAGCTCTCACTTATGAGTAAGAACATGCGGTGTTTGGTTTTCTGTTCATGTGGTAGTTTGCTGAGAATGATGGTTTCCAGCTTCATCCATGTCCCTGCAAAGGACATGACCTCATCCTATTATATGGCTGCATAGTATTCCATGGTGTATATGTGCCACATTTTCTTTATCCATTCTATCATTGATGGGCATTTGGATTGGTTCCAAGTCTTTGATATTGTGAACAGTGCTGCAATAAGCATATGTGTGCATGTGTCTTTATAGTAAAATGATTTAGAATCCTTTGGGTATATACCTAGTAATGGGATTGCTAGGTCAAATGGTATTTCTGGTTCTAGGTCCTTGAGGAATCTCCACACTGTCTTCCACAATAGTTAAACTAATTTACACCCCCACCAACAGTGTAAAAGCATTCCTATTTCTCTGCGTCCTCTCCAGCATCTGTTGTTTTCCTGACTTTTGAATGATCGCCATTCTAACTGGCATGAGATGGTATCTCATTGTAGTTTTGATTTGCATTTCTCTAATGACCAGTGATGATGAGCTTTTTTTTTTTTTATAGTTTGGTGGCTGCATAAGTGTCTTCTTTTGAAAAATGTCTGTACATATCCTTCACCCACTTTTTGATGGGGTTGTTTGTTTTTTTCTCGTAAATTTGTTTGAGTTCTTTGTAGAATTGGGATATTAGCCCTTTGTCAGATGGATAGATTGAAAAAATTTTCTCCCATTCTGTAGGTTTCCTGTTAACTCTGATGATAGTTTCTTTTGCTGTGCAGAAGCTCTTTAGTTTAATTAGATCCCATTTGTCAATTTTGGCTTTTGTTGCCATTGCTTTTGGTGTTTTAGCCATGAAGTCTTTGCCCATGCCTATGTCTTGAATGGTATTGCCTAGGTTTTCTTCTAGGGTTTTTTATGGTTTTAGGTCTTACATTTAAGTCTTTAATCCATCTTGAGTTAATTTTTGTGTAAGGTGTAAGGAAGGGGTCCAGCTTCAGTTTTCGGCATATGGCTAGCCAGTTTTCTCAACACCAGTTATTAAATATGGAATCCGTTCCCCATTGCTTTTTTCTCAGGTTTGTCAAAGATTCGAGAGCTGTAGATGTGTGGTGTTATTTCTTAGTCTCTGTTCTGTTCCATTGGTCTATACATCTGTTTTGGTACCAGTACTATGCTGTTTTTGTTACTGTAGACTACTTATAGTGTAGTTTGAAGTCAGGTAGCTTGATTCCTCCCACTTTGTTTTTTGCTTAGGATTGTCTTGGCTATACGGGCTCTTTTTGGTTCCATATGAAATTTAAAGTGTTTTTTTCTAATTCTGTGAAGAAAGTCAATGGTAGATTGATGGCAATAGCATGGAATCTATGAATTACTTTGCGAAGTATGGCCATTTTCATGATATTGATTCTTCCTATCCATGAGCATGAAATGTTTTTCCATTTGTTTGTGTCCTCTCTTATTTCCTTCAGCAGTGGTTTGTAGTTCTCCTTGAAGAGGTCCTTCACATCCCTTGTAAGTTGGATTCCTAGGTATTTTCTTCTCTTTGTAGCAATTGTGAATGGAGTTCACTCATGATTTGGCTTTCTGTTTGTCTATTATTGGTGTATAGGAATGCTTGTGATATTTGCACATTGATTTTGTATCTTGAGACTTTGCTGAAGTTGCATATCAGCTTAAGGATTTTTTGGGCTGAAACGACAGGGTTTTCTAAATATGCAATCATGTCATCTGCAAATAGAGACAATTTTACTTCCTCTCTTCCTATTTGAATACCCTTTATTTCTTTCTCTTGCCTGATTGCCCTGGCCAGAACTTCCAACACTATGTTGAATAGGAGTGGTGACAGAGGGCATCCTTGTCTTGTGCCGGTTTTCAAAGGGTAAGCTTCCAGCCTTTTCCCATTCAGTATGATATTGGCCGTGGGTTTGTCATAAATAACTCTTGTTATTTTGAGACACAGTCCATTAATACATAGTTTATTAAGTGTTTTTAGCATAAAGCAGTGTTGAATTTTATCGAAGGCCTCTTCTGCATCTATGGAGATAATCGTGTGGTTTTTGTCATTGGTTCTATTTATGTGATGGATTATGTTTATTGATTTGCATTTATTGATTTATTTATTTGGGAACCAGCCTTGCATCCCAGGGATGAAGCTGCCTTGATTGTGGTTGATATGCTTTTTGATGTGCTACTGGATTCGGTTTGCCAGTATTTTATTGAGGATTTTCACATCAAGGTTCATCAGGGATATTGGCCTGAAATTTTCTTTTTTTGTTGTGTCTCTGCCAGGTTTTGGTATCAGGATGATGCTGGCATCATAAAATGAGTTAGGGAGGAGTCCCTCCTTTTCTATTTATTGGAATAGTTTCAGAATGAATGGTACCACCTCCTCTTTGTACCTCTGGCAGAATTTGGCTGTGAATCTGTCTGGGCCTGGGCTTTTTTTGGTTGGTAGGCTCTTAATTACTGCCTCAATTTCAGAACTTGTTATTGGTCTATTTAAGGATTTGACTTCTTCCTGGTTTAGTCTTGGGAAGTTGTATATGTCCAGGAATTTATCCATTTCTTCTAGATTTTCTAGTTCATTTGCATAGAGGTGTTTATAGTATTCTTTGATGGTAGTTTGTATTTTGGTGAGATCAGTGGTGATATCCCCTTTATCATTTTTTTATTGTGTCTACTTGATTCTTCTGTTTTCTTCTTTATTAGTCTGCCTGCAGTCTATCATTTTTGTTATCCTTTTCAAAAAACCAGCTCCTAGATTCACTGATTTTTTGAAGGGTTTTTTGTTTCTCTATCTCCTTCAGTTCTGCACTGATCATAGTTATTTCTTGTATTTTGCTACCTTTTGGATTTGTTTGCTCTTTCTTCTCCAGTTCTTTTAATTGTGATGTTAAAGTGTTGCTTTTAGATCTTTCCCACTTTTTCCTGTGGGCAGTTAGTGCTATAAATTTCCCTGTACACACTCCTTTAAATGTGTTCCAGAGATTCTGGTATGTTGTGTCTTTGTTCTCATTGGTTTCAAAGAACATCTTGAGTTTTGTCTTCATTTCGTTATATACCCAGTAGTCATTCAGGAGCAGGTTGTTCAGCTCTCATGTAGCTGCATGGTTTTGAGTGAATTTCTTAATCCTGAGTTCTAATTTGATTGCACTATGGTCTGAGAGATGGTTTGTTATGATTTCCCTTCTTCTGCATTTGCTGAGGAATGTTTTACTTCCAATTATGTGGTCACCTTTAGAATAAGTGTGATGTGGTGCTGAGAAGAACATATATTCTATTGATTTGGGGTGGAGAGTTCTGAGGATGTCTCTTCGGGTCACTTGGTCCAGAGATGAGCTCAAGTATTGAATGTCCTTATTAATTTATTAATTTTCTGTCTCATTGATCTGTCTAATATTGACAGTGGGGTGTTTCACTATCAATACTCCCACTATTATTGCGTAGGAGTGTAAGTCTCTTTATAGGTCTCTAAGAACTTGCTTTATTAATCTGGATACTCCTGTATTGGGTGCATATATATTTAGGAGAGTTAGCTCTTGTTTTTGCATTGATCCCTTTACCATTATGTAATGTGCTTCTTTGTCTTTTTAGATCTTTGTTGGTTTAAATTGGTTTTATCAGAGACTAGAATTGCAACCTCTGCTTTTTTTTTTTTTCTTTTTTTTTTCTTTTTTTGTGACAGAATCTCTCTCTGTTGCCCATACTGGAGTACAATGGCATGATCTAGGCTCACTGCAAGCTCCGCCTCCCAGGTTCATGCCTCTCTCCTGCCTCAGCCTCCCGAGTGGCTGCGAATACAGGTGCCCGCCACCACACCTGGCTAATTTTTTTTGTATTTTTCTTTAGTAGAGACAGTTTCACCATGTTAACCAGGATGGTCTCGATCTCCTGACCTCGTGATCTGCCCACCTAGGCCTCCCAAAGTGCTGGGATTACAGGTGTGAGCCACCACACCTGGCCTTTTTTTCTTTTTTTGCTTTCCATTTGCTTGGTGTATATTCCTTCATCTCTTTATCTTGAGCCTATATGTGTCTTTGCACATGAGATGGGTTTCCTGAATACAGCACACTGATGGGTCTTGACTCTTTATCCAATTTGCCAGTCTACATCTTTTAATTGTGTCATTTAGCCCATTTACATTTAAGGTTAATATTATTATGTGTGAATTTGATCCTGTCATTATGATGCTAGCCAGTTATTTTGTCCATTAGTTGATGCAGCTTCTTCATCATGTCGATGGTCTCTACATTTTGGTATGCTTTTGCAGTGGCTGGTACTGGTTTTTCCTTTCCATATTTAGTGCTTCCTTCAGTAGCTCTTGTAAGGCAGGCCTGGTGGTGACAAAATTCGTGTTGTTTTAGGCAACGAACTTTGTGGAAGTTACAGCAGCAATTGAAAATTCATACAGGTATATTATTGCTAAAGCTGTTAAAGACAGTTCATGTGACTCTCCCTGCCTCCACCTGTCTGTGCCATAAGTCCCTCCCCTTCTTCCCCCATTTCTTGTCCTAATTGATTTTTTTTTTTTTTTTTTGAGGCGGAGTCTTCACTCTGTCGCCCAGGCTGGAGTGCAGTGGCACCATCTCGGCTCACTGCAAGCTCCGCCTCCCGGGTTCGCGCCATTCTCCTGCCTCAGCCTCCGGAGTAGCTGGGACTACAGGCGCCCGCCACCGTGCCCGGCTAATTTTTTGTATTTTAGTAGAGACGGGGTTTCACCATGTTAGCCAGGATGGTCTCGATCTACTGGATGGTCTCGATCTACTGACCTCGTGATCCGCCCGCCTCGGCCTCCCAAAGTGCAGGGATTACAGGCGTGAGCCACCGCGCCCGGCCCCTAATTGATTTTTGACTGTAGACTTTGAACATGTCACTTCCTGTTCCTTCAGAGGTTCCCTGTCACCTTCAGGACAAAACTTAGACTCCTCAAACCTGTCTGCTGTTTACCCCTCCAACTTTATTTCTAGCCACTCATGTCCCCTCCTTATTCTAGGTCAGAGGTTCCAAAACTTTCTCAGTTAACAAAATCCTTAGAATCTCAATATGCTCATGTTATCCCTAGGTACAAAGAATTGCCTAACAGTTCTCTCTATTACACAGTGAGGTCCAAACAATGTAATGAGTATTTATATCCTAGCAACTTAGTAGCCAGTAAAGATGTAATTCATATAAACTGAAGGAAAAGTATTTTAAGTTTTTCTTAAGTAACCCTCATTATAGATACATGTAGAGCATCACTGCGTTGCCCACACAGAATTTAAATATCCTGTGATGTCCCTGTGAATTTGCTACAGTGCTCCAGGATGCCTTGGTACACAGTTTGGGGTCAACAGCTCTGGGTTCCAGGCTGTTGGATGTTATCAAGGCAGCCTTAAAATTCTCCATGTATGAAAGGAGGAATAGAGGCAGGGAGCTTTCCTTTGCCTATACTTACCATGGGCCTTTCCAAATTTCAGACCTTTTCATACATGGACTCTACCACTTACAGTGTCCACTTTTCCCAACTCTCTGCCTCTATTTCTCTTTTAACTAGTTCACAGCGTCTTCTTAGGATTCAGCTTAAATTTTGTTTATTTTTCTCTGGGAGTCCTTTCTTGCCCTCCTGAAGTCAGGGAACCCTCCTCTGTGCTCCTTGGCAGAAAATTCATCACATCACATTGTGATTGTCTCTTTATTTGTCTACTTCCCTCATTGGCCACAAGCATCTTAAAAAACAGTGTCCTCTCACTTACCTTGCAATTCCAGTGTCTAACACTGTGCCTGCACAATGAAGAACTTCCAAGGTTTTTAAGGAAGGTCCTGGGGTTATTTCACAGGTCACAGGAGGAGGGGGATTTTAAGGCTGCCTTGATAATATCTAGATGGCTCAGGTTGGGTTTCCCCAGAAGTAAACCCTGAGATAGAGATTTGGATACACTTAGTTTATTTGTGAGGTGATACCACTTGTGGGAAAATGAGACAAGGGAGAGAAGCCAATGAAAGTGCTTTAGCATACAGGTTATTTCTGTGGGCAAATCAGGCTCAGACCCACTGGGAACTCTGGGAGACAAGATAGAATATGACTAGAGTTATGCCAGTAGAGAGGGAGGCCAGATGGACTGTTTATCCCCAATGCCCTTGAGTCACTAGTAGGCTGCTCCCAAGGGACAGTAACTTTTTGAATTTTCCCATCTGTCCTATTCAGGTTCAATGGTCTCTGGTGGCAGAGAAAGGCCTTCAGAAGCATCTCAGAGGCTTGCCATTGGAAGTTATCATGTAGAGGATTAAATGGTGAGTGTCCATGGAATACCATCTGTTACACAAATAACCCTGGATGGAAAAACTGAGAGAGAATAAGACTTATTTCAAAAGGAAATTGGTGTCACTGTCCTTTGCCTCTTGTCAAATATCTGTATATTGATTTTTCTTTGAACAAATCTATTTTTACATGCAATGGCCATTTTTCGTACAAGTCTGCAGTATATACCAGCTAATCTACTAAAGAGCAGTGGGATCTGGTTTGGAGATTATAGCCGAATTTCATTTGTGCTCTCTACAGGGAAACTGTCACCACATCCACGAGGAAGACAACTAGAGCTACTTGTAAAGAGAAATCCAAAGGAAAGGCAATGAGAGTGGCTTCCTTTTACAAATGTAATTGTGAAAAATATATGATAAGATTAGACTTACCTTCTAACTTGTGGAAAGTAAAAGTAGAAGACAAGGGGCTTTTTGTAAGCTACAAACTCTATTAAAGCTCCTTTTGATTTGATTTCTGGGTTGCAGCTACCTTTTGCCAAGGGACGTTCACAGTTCTATCCTTGCCAAATTAGTTATTTTTATTTCATTTTTTGACCAACAATTTACATGATTTTATTTAGGCCAGAGTTTGGATGTCAATATAGGGGACAATTAGTAATTTAGTGAAATATTTCAGTGTAATTCTGGATCTCTATATCCTAGTTTCATGACCTTGGAATACTCAAAATCTCAGTTTACTGTGAAAATATGGAGAATAAAATGCCACCACAGGAGTTGTGAAAGGTTTCCATAAAGTGATATATGTAAAGTGCTTACCATGGCCTGATATAGTATAAGCATGAAATTAGTTTTAACTATCATTACATTTAGGCATATTGAGTTTGCATTGTCATTAGCATTCTCATTCATTCACTTTTGAATGTGACCTTGAGGTTTTAACATTTCCAATTTACAGCTGGGAAAGAGAAATAAAATCCACACAAAGCTGAATGATTGCTAGTTACATATAGCATACATAATACATAAAGTGTATTTACTTTCTACTAGAGCTAAGGGATGGCCAAGTAAACTTGCTTGCAATAATTCCATGTAGTAAATGAAATATCTGAAAGCAAAGCTACGCAAATTTGGCTATTTTGTGGCTATAAACTTAACCAATCAATTCAAGGGAATGTTATCCATAATGTAATCTTTCAATGTTAGGATGCTAGAAAAATTAAAATGAGGAAAATTTTTACATCTGTGTTATGTTTAAACTAGCATTCTTCTGGGAAAAAAAATGTCTTTCTCATTTTTCTTCATTTATTTTGACCCCTCCTTTGTTGCCCTCCACAGAATCAAAACTGGGTACTGGTTACTTTTGGAAGTATCTGGTTTGTGTTCCCATTGCAAGTGGAGACATGCTAATGAGTCATTAACAACATGAGCAGCTCTCCGTAATATAAAAATGCTATTAGATTATGAGATAACAAATAATGAGTTCTAACTGTAAAGTTTGAGTCACTTAATTGTAGTACCATAAATAATCACCTAGAAATTTCAGATTAAAGATTAGAAAATTATAAATTCTCTATTTGCAGAACCATTTTACTAAAAAAAAAAAAAAAAAAGAACATTCGATTAGAATACTTTACAAGCTATCTGCAAATAAAAATAAAGCCATGGAGATATATTTACTAAAGATAATATGAGGGGGACTTCAAAAAGCTCATGAAAAATGTGTATTTTCAAAAACTGTTTATTGCAGCACTATTTACAATAGCAAAGAATTGGAACCAACCCCAATGCCCATCAATGATAGAATGGATAAAGAAAATGTGGCATATATATACCATCAGAATACTATGCAGCCATAAAAATGAATGAGTTCATGTCCTTTGCAGGGACATGGATGAAGCTGGAGCCATCATCTTCAGCAAACTAACACATGAACAGAAAACCACACACCACATGTTCTCAACATGGACACAGGGAGGGGAACATAACACAGCAGGGCCTGTCGGGGGGTAGAGGGTAAGGGGAGGGAGAGCACTAGGACAAATACATAATGCATGCAGAGCTTAAAACCTGGATGACGGGTTGATAGGTACAGTAAACCACCATGGCACATGTATACCTATATAACAAACCTGCACGTTCTGCACATGTATCCCAGAACTTAAAATAAAAATAAATAAATACATAAATAAAAGAAAAACTGTGCATTAAATTAAAAAATTGTTTGCACCAAATTAAACTTATACTAACTTATTGTAACATGCCTGAACAAGGTCTAGTTTGAGGAACTAAAAAAGATAAGATATCAGTTTGAAAAGAGCTCCTGGCAGAGGAACCTGAATTCTACTAAAATTGAAGCAAGAGCAAACATCAAATTTATGGTGACACTTGGGTGGAAGAATGATGAAATCATTGAGCCTTTATGAAAAGTTTATGGGGACAATGCCCCAGATAAATCATCAGTCTCCAAATGGATAACTTATTTTAAGAAAGCATGAGATAATATTGAAGATGAAATCTGTAGCAGTGAGCTATTTACATCAGTTTGCAAGAGAAAATATCATCCTGTACATGCACTAATTGAAGTGGATCAACAATTAACAGCATCGAAAATAAGCCAACAGCATGGACATCTCAACTGGTTCAGTTTACCCAATTCTGACTAAAAAATTAAAGTTGAGCAAATTTTCCATTTGATGGGTGTCAAAACTGTTGTGCCCAGATCAGCTGCAGACAAAAGCAGAGCTTTCTATGAAAATTTTAAACAGATTGGATCAAGATCCTGAAGCATTTCCTCAAAAAATTGTAACAGGAGATGCAACATGGCTTTACCAGCACAATCCTGAAGACAAAGCACAATCAAAGCAATGGCTACCAAGAGGTGGAAAGGGTCCAATCAAAGCAAAAGCAAACCAGTCAAGAGCAAAGGTCATGGCAACAGTTTTTTAGGATTCTCAAAGCATTTTGCTTGTTGACTTTGTGGAGGACCAAAGAACAATAACATCTGTTTATTATGAGAATAATTGAGAAAGTTAACTGAAGCTTTAGCAGAAAGACATCTGGAGAAGCTTCACCTGAGAGTCCTTCTCCACTACAATGCTCCTGCAAACCAGGGTAATTTTTTTTTATAGAGTTTCAATGGAAAATCATTAGGTATCTACCTTACAGTCCTGATTTGTCTCATTCTAATTTCTTTTTGTTTCCTAATCTTAAAAAATCTGGAAAGGCATCCATTTTTCCTCAGTTAACTTTATATATATATTATACTGCATTGACATGGTTAAATTCCCAGGACCCTCAGTTCTTTAGTGATAGACTAAATGGTATCATCACTTACTAAAGTGTCTTGAAAGTGACAGAGCTTATGTCAAGAAATAAATCTTATACTTTTTTATCTTTTAATACCAGTTTTCTACAAACTTTTTGAAGTCTCCTTGTACATATGAATAAAAATAGAAGCACTGTCAAGTATAGTTTTACGGGAACAGCTGCCTCTTAAAGTCGTTTTGTACCTGAATATTCTGCAGTTCTGAAATTATCAAATCTTGACTGAGAAGGAATGAATTTAGCAAACAAAATTCAACAAATTTTATCCCTGACTCCTATCCCTTCTGTTAAAGTTAACACCATAACACTTCAGGCTTCAAATGTTAGTGTTTCTTTGAAATACCTTTCAACTATCCAGCCTTCTTACTGGGCACTAAGTACGATTGATTCTGCTTCGACAGGGGCATCTATATCTACCTTATCTTTTCCAGGTTTTCAGTCAGAGCCCTAGCTCAAGCTCTCACTGTTTCTAACCTAGCCTTTTGAAGCAGCCTCCTAGACACTGTTTATGCTTCCTCTCTTATCTCTTGGAATCCCTCCTGTAAATTGCTTCTGGCTTAATATTCATGAAAACCAGCTTCAATTCTGACATGCATTTGACTCAAATAATTGATGGCTTCCACAGTGTCCAAACTCCAGAGTCCAGTAAGGCAGACCATCTCTAATGTGACCGCTTGACATGCCTTATATATACCCTACTTTCACGTACATCAGACTTTTACAGCCAAATAACACACACAAGCAGCCCACCTCTGAATCTGAATTCCATTGATCTTGGTCTCCTTTAAGTAGCAATTAAGGCTCTCATAAACCTTTCCCTATCTACTGCTGACTACCTTTCACATTCCTTTCTGCATTATTAGAGTAGGTAGCACTAATTGACATAAAAGTATTTTTTCTTACTTAGATCATCTGCTGCTGATAGTCATTCTGAATTTACATCCAGAGAACACAGACTGATTTGACCTGGAACTCATGATAAAATGGTTTTCCTTTTATCATTTACTACTTTAATGAAAGTTTGAATTAAAATATGTAGTAAACATTGAATACATTTTGTTAGATTTAGAGGGAAAGGGTGAAAGAAATTAGCACTTAGAAAAAGTCAAAGACATTTCTTCAACTGACAGATAGCCGAATCTTGTCCCGCTGTGGCAGCAAGAACCTGTATAGACACAGGAACCATCAAATCTACCACACAAAACTGGTTAGAACAAGAAAGATTCAATAAATCCTGGCTGATTAGAGAGGAGAAAGAGAAATGTTGCCCTGTACTGTTTCAAGGTTCTAACACAGCTTCCTCTGGTACTGCACTGCAGTCTATGAAAGAACCTCATCCACAAATCCAGCGACCTAGGTTCCCCTCCTGCTCTGTAACTCTGTAACTGCATCCCTGCAGGTCAAATACATCTTTTCTTTATAATTTGCTTATATTTCTATAGAAGAAATGGACCAGCTATCTCAAGACCCCTAACATCCTAATTAATTGTATTACGATTTATGAACTCTACAAAAACTGCATTTCCATTTTATGCAAATACTTTGAATACTACACAAGCCCAAAAGAATGTTTAAGACATGGGTGTGTTAAAATATTTTTCAGAAATTTCTCCCTAATGTCTCTTTCATGACATTGAGTTTAAGTCATAATAAAATGCCCCAGTTACTACCGAAGTGAGTAGCAAATTGACAGTTTCTTCCCAGACCATCCTTTTCTTTTTTCTCACTTCTACCAAAATCTTTCTCTTAGTCATGAAGGGCATGGCCTTCTTAAACAGCGACATGTTTAGCAAGAAAAATAGATTTTAGCTTGCTATTTTCCCTGCATCATTAGTTAGCTCACAGCTGTAGTCTCCAAAATCCAACATAGTTTAGCTCCGTTACTGACTACATGCCTTAGCAACGTGAGGTAATTCAAAAGTCAGATTTTTCTTGGAAGCAGAATTTTTGTTTTAAAAGCAATGAAATTGATAGTGCCTCCTTTCAATCAAAGGATACTTACAACACTGGATTCCCATTCAGCTACTGTTACTTAACTCAATTTCCATTTTGCTCTCAATAGTCTGGCAGTTGTTATAAGAGAAAAACAACAGGGATACTTAGAACTGTAACCAATTGACTCAATACTGGATGTTAT